GACAGCGAGAGCGAGAGCGAGAGCGAGAGCGAGAGCGAGAGCGAGAGCGAGACCAAAGACGGTGGGTGTATGTGCGTGCGTAAGTTTTTCACGCCCTCCGAAGACCGAACCGAGGTGCAAAGCAACGTTCGCCGTCACTAGCTGGTATAGCCAGCCTCAGTAGGGCAGAGAGCGACATGAGGTTTCAAGACGACCAGCAGCGGAAGCAAGAGCGACGAAGTTGCAAACCAGGGTCAGGGTTGTCGGTCAGGTTTCCTGATTCTGCCGCCCAGGGCACGAAATGGCTCGAAAGCCAAGACCTTCCCCTCACGCCCCACTCTCTCGCCGAAAGGGATTGTGTAGGATCCTCATGCCGGGGGCTGATATGCTGAGGGTGAACAAACATCTTGGCACAATGATTTCTCGAGGTCGCGCTCCTAGATTGGCGCCCACGTCCACAACGGTATCACCTCACAAAGGCAAAGCTCGGTGGACCAGACATGACCAAATACGTAGTTGCATCAAAAACGGCCATCCCGAGCCCAGTGGCCAGGGCGCAGGAGTGCCTGCATCTGGTAGTTTTGCATTGGGTTCATGGTTCCCATTTGCATGATGCCATGCGCCTTAGATTCGCATCCCAATGCACAGACTTCTGAATTGCCTCTGCGCTGTGGCTTCTCTAAGAGCCCGGCGATGTTGGTATCGTAGAACGGAAGTGCAAATGCATGTAGGGGCGTCTTGGGCAACACCTGTTTCCAGCCCCCTTGTATCTCAAGTGATCGAACTGTTGGCATTGCAACGTGCCAATGTCTAGAGTCTAGACCAACTTTGCACATGCGCCGGACATGTAGCGCCTCTGTATTGGTCGAACTGTGCAACTCTGCAGTGACGGATCCCGGGCCCCCCGGCTCCTGGTCAAGGGCGCATGAAGGGAGAATCCTAGCAGACTCTCACAACTCCCCGAGGCTCCTGGTAGGCAGACTGCTGCACCGCATTTCCACTTCCTTTCCACTGCTCCTTTCAACAGCTTGCCAGCTGGCTTGGCATCGAGGGTGCGACGACGAAGGTACGGAAAACTCAGAAAGTACCATCGAGACAGATACGTCCAACTTCTCTTGACGCATGAGTTGGCATCCTCTATCTCGGGTGGGACCGAGATTGCAGGATCACGGAAGTTGTAGACTAGCCTTGGCTCTTTTGCGGCTGCCCCACTTGGGCCAAAGAACACAGAGCCCGGCTGTATCCGGCTGTCAGGTATCGGCCAAGGGACGAAACGGGCCAGTGCTGGCCAAGCACTGCGATGCCCTTGGCCTGCATGCTTTCGTGATTTTGCGCGTGACATGTTGGTAGCGGCAAGACCTCTGCCTGGACGTGAAATCCGCAATTCACCAGGCCGAGGATTGCAAAAGCTTTGGTCCCTGGGGCCTCTTCTGTGCTGCGCAGCATCTCGCCACACCTCTGTTTGAAGCGACATCACACTGCAATAAGTCGCTCGCAATGCACTCTCCTGTCACCCGGCGCCCCCGAAAATTGCATTGCAGCCTGTTGTAGATGGAGTGGTTCAGGTCCGACTCCGGTGCTCCACCGTTTGCAGACAGCAGAAACTGCTTGCAGCCCTCTGTCGTGGTGGGCATGCTAACCTCCGGCCGAGGACTTGAACTCAATGCGATGGCTACAGCTACAAGCCTGAGCTAGTGACGTTTGAAGGCAGCGCATTGTGTTCTCCTACCTTGGCGATTGTAAGATCGTCGGCGGAGGCTCAGATCCCACGTTGCTCTGTCAAGTTGCAGTCAGATTTTTGCTGCGTGCCCGATCTTCCTGCCATCGTGCGTCACAACATCAGGCTAGCTGGTAGCTCTATGGTTCTATGCCCGTGTGCAGCCGAGACTCGAGCACGCGGGCGAACCAGCCAGATTTCTCGCCGATTTCCGGCCAGTTCCGCATCTGATAGCAGCCATCGCAGCCACCACCTATAGGTGCCTCGTTGAACGGGGGGTTCCAGGCGATCTTTCGCTTCGAATCTCTGCTCTGCGAGTCAAGCCTGCAAAGCTCACAAAGTGGTCAGAGCCAAGCCAAGCTACGCAAACCTGCCATGAGACGCAGTCTGGATTCGCCAGACACTGCTGGTCGCAGGCCTCACCCAGAAACCCCTCACGTGCAGAAATCTTGTCTTTTATTCCTGGCCTCTGGCGTCAAGTCCTGCGCTTTCCCGATCAGCGACCTCGCGATCTGCCTGTAGTCGAAGCCGCGATTTGCAACTTCCTCGGCGGCTCCCAAAGGCTCCCAGAGGGCGCCAGGGTGAGGGTCCCTGCTGTGCGTCTGCTCAGCCGCGCTCAGCCCTCCTCCTCGGCCCACCGGTCCCGTCCCGCCCGTCCTTCCCCCTGTGAGTCGCGTCTTACGAGGGGAAAGATCGGGCTTGGGCACAGCCTTGGCCCTCGAGCCGAGAGTCGCTGAGCACCAGCCCTAGCACCTTCTCGACCAGCACCCCCAACGCGAGCATGCGCAGCGCCATGGCTTCACTAGGAGCTCCAAAATTCGAAGCTCTTCGCAGATGGAGGCCGATTGGTGTTGTGGTGGGTGGGCTGAGACTGAGCGATACTGAGCGAGTGTTGAGTTTTGGCCTGACTGTCCTGGGTTAGGCTGTTTCAGCGTCCAGTTGAAGTGCCTGCATCCTGCTGTTCAGCATTGTCGGAGGGAGCAGCCCGGGCTATCTTGCATTCCGCACAGATGTGGCAGAGTTTTCATGCGACCCTGTGTCATACATTCTGGCTGGGCAGCCAAAGACTAAGCCAATGGCTTCTCCCAGACGATGAACTGAATTGTACGAGCAGATGCCCTCCTGTCTCGTACTCACCTAGAGCGACCCCAGCCATGCCGACGCCTGGTGGGAGCCAAGGCCATGCCGAACTCCGCGGCTTTGCCTCAAGCAACAGACATGCGCTGGCACAGTGTGGCGTTGCTGGGCTCGGCTTAGACTCTCGTGCTGCGCACCTGCGAAGACCGTGCCGACCGCGCTGCGTGGCCCACCATCTTGGGCCGAAAGCAGGGGCACATGCTCCAGTCGAGCCACCAGCTACCCCAGCTAGCATGTTTCACTTCGCGACCATTCACCGTGAACGGCTTTTCTTCTGCGCAGTTGTCTCTCTTCATTGCTCCATCCAATGTTGATAGTCATTACACAGCATGGACCGGCGGGAAGAAAGAAAGAAGGAACATGGTGCAAGGTGCCCTTTTACATCCTTTTACATTGCCATACTTCGCATCTGAGGATTGTTTTCTTGTATCCTCTTCCCACGGTCCAGGCCCCTTCATCCGGAGCGAAGGAATCTGCAGTGGAACCGTCCGCCCGTGGTACACCCATCGCAACTAGACAATTCGTGATATCTCAAAGACTCGAAGCCCGGCACCTACCCATGCTACAGTGCATGCTTTCTTGGATTGGGGGTTGAATTCCTGAAAGAGACAGATGCCCACCGCAAGGCACACTGCAAATTCCAAAGAGCACCCTGACGGCATCCAGAGATCCTGTCTGTCTTGCTGCTTCCACACTTCGCGCTATGGCGTTGGAAGTAATAGAGTCACTGTGTTCTCCTTGAGGGATTTTCCTTCCTGGAGTAGCGTCAAGGGCCCACCTGGCTACTGTCCCTGAGGCAAAATTCTGCTGAGCGGTTCCTCGCGATGCTTCTTGTTTGGATATGGAGCCTTCGGTTTACGGCCCGGGCTCAAACAACGATGAAGACAAGAGGTATCACTCAGCCTGGAAGAGACTAGCTAACAACAGTCCACCCGTGCTGCAACGAATCAGACGCAATATATTGAAGGTTCGTGCAACAATCAAGCTTCACATAGATATGCGATCATGCCTGACAATGACCAGTATTGGTGGCTAGCACCATGTCACCAACATGTCCTTCTACTGTTGTGCCATGCTTTTTGCCGGCACTCTTCAGCATGCCCAGCTGTTTGCAGGCTAATGCATATTGATGAGCTCCCCTACATTTGAAGTTCGTCGTGTCTTTCAGTCTTGACGATTGCATCTTGTAGTCGTAGGAGAAATACACAATCCAGCTGGGGCAGTGGGAAACGCATTGAAGGCACTGGAAGCTCTGTCAGCAGCAAGTGTAGCAAGTGTCACTATCAAGATCTTAACAAGCTGACTTGACACGATGTCTGCCCGACAGATGCTTCTGATCTACCAGCAGTGAGCTGAAACTGTCTATGTTACGCGTGCAGCAACTCAGTGCCACCACTGAGCGCCTTTCGACTGGCCCTTCGCGCCCTTGGACTTTCCTCCCTTGTCGCCTTTGCCTCTGCCATCTGCTTTGCCTTTTGCATCGGATTTGCCTTTGCTATCGCCCTTGCCTTTGCCTTGGGCTTTTCCTTTGCTCTCCGCCTTTCCTTTGGCTTCTCCTTTTCCCTTTGGGCTGCTTTTGCTGCCCTTGGCGGAAGCCTTGCGGTTCCTGTAGCAGGACGACATGAAGTCACGTCACATTGCGTGTAAAAGCAGAGAACTCCCTTCCGCCTCCATTCGTTCGCCGCCGCCATGATCTCCCTCCTGTCTGAGACGTGGGCCGCAAACGCATCGCATCGCAAGCTGGCGGCCCTTGTCCCAGCCTTCTCTCCTCGGCTCCCTTGGCATGCGGCGCTTCCTCCTTCTGGCCACTTTACCCCCACTTCTCTCTAGACGCTTGAAAAATGAATACGTCGGAGTCCTCCGCCCAGGCCCATTCTGGGCAGTAATCGGGCCTTGCACAGCGGCAAAGCAACGGAGGAGTACACCTGGTAGCTCCGCAACCAATGCGGTCAAGCAACTTCTTCCAATCCTCTGGCGACCAGGTCTCCCAGCCTGGCAAGCACATCTGCTTTTTGCCGGCTCGGAGCTTTCTCATGAAAAGACGGCAATGCAAGGCTTTTCCGGGCGTGCGCGGGGCTGGCACCAGGCGTCGTCACGAAGTGACGGCCTTCGACGTCCACGTCAGCACCTGCTTTGGCCATCCAGGTCGGAAGGCAGGTCGTGAAGGTCGCAGGCGAGCGACGAGGCGTCGAAGCTTTCAGGCATCCAGGGGCGACTTAGCTGCTTCCCTTGGCTTCCCCACCGGAGCCCTGGCAAGGACCAAGCACTGGAAGAGAGCATGGCAAAGGGTTGCAAAGGCGGGACACTGTCGCCAGCTATCAGATTTCGACATGACGAGGCCTTGTTGTGGTGCTTGGCGATGCGATGCAAGGCCGTCACCACCTCGACCCAGATCTTGGCCATGAAAGAACCACGCGCCCGCGCGGGCGTGCACACGCACACCATCTTCTTTCATATTCTGACTTTCGTCCGCACCCTTATGCGCAGACCCTAGCGCCAGCACTTCCCGCCAAGAAGCATTGACCTGGTTGAACTCATCTAAGCTCTCGTCGCAGATCTTCAGGACCTTCTCGGGGCTGTCACAGCCCAGCAACTCCTTGGGGAACAAGTGAGAGAATCAGCATTTCTGGGATTCTGGGACCCTGTGACCCTATAAAAGCACTCGCAACTCGTTGCACGGAGTCGCGGGCCTTGTTCAGCTGGATGTTGCGCCTTAGTCGGCCATTGCAACAGACGGGCACAATGGGCCTGCAAAAGCAGCCCGGAGACTGCTGTCGGAGCAAGGTACACCATACTATGATCTGCAAGATATTTCAAATCTGAGCAGATGCCACCCCGAACCCGGTGCTGCTTTGAACTTGAAGAGCTTTTCATCACTTCAGCTGACATGAACAGGAGACGCAGTTCAGAACAAAGTACTGCATCCCACCTATGCATGGTAGGGAGATCCCAAGTTGTGCTCTGGTCTATGTGTCTTGACTTGTAAGAGCTAGAATTTGCTAGAACTTTAGAAAACTGCGAAATCAGTTTGCCCATCGAAAACGAAGGGAAGGATAGAGAGAGAGAGGCAGAGCCGGAGAGAGAGGGAGGGAGGGGGAGGGAAAGAGACTTTTTGACTTTGCATTCGCA